TTAAAAGCAATGCAGCTAAGCATATTAGCTCTTATATACCATTCACATATTGTGTATTAAAAATGCTATTTATTTATCAATTGCTATATATAAAAAAATATATATTATATTTAAAGCTCGAAATAAAACGCTATTTATGCTTATTTCAAAAAGTGACACAAAATCAAAGACAAAATAATATAAGAACTATATAAACAACAACAAAGTAAATGTAAGTGTTAAGCAAAATTAATATGCCTAAAAACAAAAAACAAAAATATTTCCAAATGTATGTTAAAAAAACAACAAAAGAGAAATACGTTTTCTTACATAAACAAGGAACATACATCTTTTAATAGCTCGTCACATATCAATTTATTGAGCTAAATTTTGGGCAGTTGTAAGAGACAGACATAACGGTACTCTTGCCTATAGATAAGACGAAACGAACGAATTCAACACCAAGTTCAATTTTTATGTATTTCAAAATAATGACATTAAATCAGCAGAGGATTTCTTTTTGCATGAGCGCTACGAACTAGTATGGCCCGACTAAAAGGTGAGTAAAGCCACAAAAACTTCTTCGTAATGGATAAAAAAAAATTTAACAAAAAATGTATATATACACATATAACTTAGACTCGTCTTCCAGTAACTAATTGACATGACAAAAAAAAACTTGCAACAGCAGAAACCCCAATTCAGTAAAATTTTATTTTAAAAGTAGTTTGGCCACAAACAGTTTATTGCTCACCATATAGTAAATAAAAAAATCTATTATCCATTTTTGTTAGTGTATTTGATATCTGTAACTATTTGGGCTTTACTTTAATCTTGAAAGCGAGCTAATGAAACTATATAAAAAGAGATTTAGTGTCAGCTCCTAGAGCTACAGCTGATGGTATTTACTTATTTGAAGAACTTGTTAGACGTAATTATCAGTACAATTTTTGCAACGAGGAATTTTAAATCAATCTTTAAAAGTAAAAATAATGAAGTAAACAAAATCGTGTTGGATTAAACTTTGTTGACAAGCTCCCAAAATTTGAACCTTTGAACCATAGTTTGACCATAGTTGAAATGAAATATGATTTGGTATATGGTTTACAATCCTCTGATTAATTCTACGAAAAGAATGATTAAACAGAAGAAAAACTTACTAACTGTTGTACATTTGTTTCGCAAAATGAACCTAAAACTAATAAACGATAAGCAAGTGCATTATATTAACAAGGATAGAAGAAAAACAAATACAAAATGAAGAATTAAAGTTCTAGTGCTAAGTTGTCACGTATATCTTCTAGGCCATAAGCAAAAACCCATGTATAAGTATAAAACAAAACCAGTTGAATTGACCTTAGTTTTCGACAGATACATATATGAAAATATATGATCTATATATTTGGCATATGCTATCATATATATACATATTTATTACATGTATTTACTGTAACAATTTGCAGCCAACATATATGAAATTTGGTAATGTTTAAACAATTATTATTATTTATTTATTATATTTAGCGTAAGACAGGATAAATCTATATACAAAACAAAACAAATCCTGTCGCTCTCTGTATGTCGCTCTATACTTGTAGCGAGTGTTTAGACAACCCATATATAACTCTTTCTATATATACAAAATGGAAATTGTAAACTCTCTATTTACTCTTAGCTACAACAAAAACGGAACACCCCTCAAAATAATGCTGAAAAACAAAAATCTCAATATTTGAAAACGAAATAAATGAAAAAAGTGTAACCAAAAAAAAAAAAAAAAAAAACACAAAGAAAATTCATAAATAAACAAAATTTGCATTTGATTTAAAAAAAAAAAAAAAAATGGAAAACAAAACAAACATTTATATAAAATAATTCAAGTAATATATATGTAATTTGTCGTAATTAGTCTGCACGCATTTTTTGCTGTAAAATGCACACAATAAAAAATGTATCTACATAATTATGTATGCTCTACATATATATATATATGCATATATATATACATATATGTGTATCGACTCAAGAAGTGTGTAGAACGTAAGCCTAGATTATTAACTGCATATTAATTATTATTAATTAGCTGATAGTTGAATTAGAAACCACCGTCATATTAGACTGTATAATACAGTGTACTCTACGTATAATGTACGATCGTTTCTCGTCATGTAATATTGTACTTCAAGTGATTGCCACATCCAATTTCTACATATATCCTTTAAATAACTTCTTAACTATTTTCGTAGCTCAAAGTGTTACTTTGTACAATTTCTTTAACTTTGTGCTCTCCGTAAAACATTTCTAAAGACGCTTTATAGTATTCTTTTTAGTATATTTTATGTTTATTTTTGAAAGTAATACTGTAATATTTGTTTAGATTTACTTTAATTTGTATATAACTAAACAAAACCTCTTAACACACTTTTGAACACTCTACAATTCCAAAGCCAAGTGCATGTCGCTAGCAAAACTGGTTTAAAGTAAAAAAAACTGTTTCTGGATTTTGAAATATCATGATATATCGCTAAGAATGCGAAGAAGTCGTTGCTATAAACAAGTTATAAAAGCAACTACTTATGTGGACAATACACGTTTGGGAGTACATCTTAATAACAGCATCTAGAACAACAAAACACAGATAAAACGTATAAGCAATATACATTTAGTATATAACTTTGATACTGACAAACACTTCGTACATAAGTATATGCCCAATATACACGTACATATTTACATATATATTTTAAAAGAACGTATGCATGAGTATTCAGAAGGATTCGAGAAGCATACGAGCTACAAGAAATTCCCAACAAAAGCTAACATTAGACATTAAGTGCAGTGTTGAATAATGAACCAATTTAATGCTAACGCCCGCACAAGATTGAACTAAGTATTGCTGTATACATACACATACATAGACGTAAAGCATACAAATTTGTGAGTGTGTGTGTTTAGTTACGTTGAAAAACAAAAACAAAGAAAGCGTAGTTTGTGTTGCAAGTTGTACTTAACCAAAAATTACAATACAAAATTATATATTCTATACATATGCAGAAAAAAATGCGCAAACTGTTATATAAATAATTACAGAATATTAAGTACAGAACTTCTTTAAATGCTGTTTCCAAAGTTGTTTAACTTTTAGCTTCTTATGCAATAAACACATATTAATTAATACCACATATATACATATATATATAAAGTATACTTAGAAATAGTGTTGATTAGCGCCTAATTAGTATGCACACACACACACACACACACATACACAATTTGGTATTTAGTTACGTACAAGAAATACATTTAAAAAACACAATAACCCAAAAACTCATCTAATTGTCAGAGCGTAATAGTAATTATATGAATAATTAATATAATATATATATATATATATACAAATTCATATATACATATATATATATATATATATATAACCCAATAAATGTTTCACATAAAAAATATATATATATATACATACATATATTATTGTAGTCTTAAATTATTTTCTTGCATTTGCTTCAACACAAGATTTACGTAATACACAGTATATATTTATTTTAGTTTTCTCTCAAATTTCGTATCCGTATTTGTAATTAGTTAGTTTTGCATAGAGAAACAGCTACATGATTTTGATTTCTTAGAAAAAACATTAGCAAGACTTTCATTTTTCTAACACACAAAAATCTAATTATAATTTGTATAGAACAGCAATTTGAAGTATTTGGTAGAAGTCGTAATATAGGCGTAGATACGTAGATACTCAAACCACGATTGTTTTTTTTTTTATACAAGCAGGTACCATCCGCTTTGCTCAAGCCAAAGTTGCCAGCCCTGTTTATCGCATTTCACCGAGTTATGATCACGTTTTTTTTTTTCGAAAATGGGCTGGTCCTGGAATTGAAAACTTAGGCAATTGTAAGGATCTCCACGATTACAATACGTCCAATCTTGCCACGATCGAAACTATAATGACTCGAGCTATGGACATTTAAAGTTTTCGTAAAAATCCTAAAACTTAAATTTCTCAGGTATTTTACGACCGATATTGGATCGATATAGCTCTTTCGATTCGCGATCAAAAACCCTGGTTCTGAAAGATGTCTAAAACTGAGACTAATTCGAAGTTGTCGAAAAACTGTTTAACCTTTTGTATCTCGGATTTCAAAAAATCTGTTCAGACTTACCCCCCAGTGATGTTTTAAAGCTTCGCTTGAGAACACAACACTCGGCTTCTCCAACCAGGGCACAGGTGGTTCTACAAACGATCCGGATTGAAGTTTCAACACATATGTATATGTGGATAGTTTCAACAGAACTTACCCGCAAATACGGAGCTATGCCGTATCGAACCACGCTTATTACAATTTATCTAAAATATAAATACATTTAACATTTGATCGTATAAATATTCGTTCACCAGCAATATTGCACCTTTGGCATTGACTTCAAGAGTCCACGCATTGAAGAGCCTCCGGTTACTAAACGATATGCCATTCTTAATAATTCTGAGACTTAACTAATTTATAGCCTAGTTGCCAATTTGTAGGTACATGCACTTAAATTTTTAGATGAGTTCCGAAATGTCTGCTTACTGGATAATAACTAGTTTTCCCAAATATCTCAAATGTGTTGTATCCGAAACTGTTAGCCACAGGTTGCTATGTTTTGAAAATCTTGAAGAATCTCTTTTAATTTTCGATAGCAAGCAATTGTTAAGATATAGCTAAAGATATGGCAGCCTGCATGGATCTGGGAAGTAACCGTTCTAGATGGCAATATTTTTCAATTCGCTAAAATCCAAGTTTCCAATTTGCGTAGCCATAACCCGAGTGATTCCAATAGCTAGGCAAACAAAAAAATGTATAGATAATGCAGCTGCAATTGTAGGCTAAAAATGTAGTGTGCAAGAGCCCAGGGAAATAAGCACCATTAAACATTTGTAGTATACTCAACAATTTAAATTTATTTAAAAATAAATTAAATTTTTTTATAAAATTCTTATACACATTACATTTATAGAGAACGCGTGCGGCATGCGCCAATTGCATCCTGTCCTCCTGCCCCTTTGCTATATATAGTAAGTATGATTGAATCTTTAGTTTCATTTAACACCAGAATTTCGTCGCGCTAAGCTGACGGCTGGAGCACGCTGTAAACTATTTGTATCCTTATCGGGGCAGCGAGCAGATTTCGCAGGAGGTTAGCTCGCCGCGATTGATGAAGGTGCAGTGGCTGCAGGTCCAGGTATTGGCATCCAGATCCATGGCATCAGCGCCAGAGCCGCCAGCGCTCGTTGCTGCACCGCTCGGATAGCTGGTGGTGCCGCTGTCAACGAAATACCAAGGTCAGCTTGTGTCTGAAATAAAACAATGTGTGTGTTTGCATTCAACTTACCCGCTGCCCGTTGAGCTGGCCTGGACCAATGATTCGAGAAGCTTCCAGACTTCCTCGCCCTTGAAATCGGCCGCCTTGTTCGGATTTTTGGCGCGCACCGCCTCCAGAAGCGGCCCCATATGCTGACGCAACGGCAGCATGTCCATTTTGTACAAATAGATGAGCAAATGGAAGTCCGAGATAGCCTCGAGAAAGTCCTCCTCGGCCCAGGCCGACAGATAGCTGCTCAGCGCATTAAAGTCCTGCAGATGGCCATCAATATAGCGATTCTCAATGGGGAATGGCTGGCGCTTGTCGTACTCCGTGAATGTGTACTGCGGCTGCAGCGGCGTCGAGGCGGGCACATCCACCAGCAGATACTCCACTGGCAGTGGGCGTGCCAGGCGCTGCACCTCGTTGCCATACTGATCCTTTTCCTGTATGTGATAAAATAGAATCAAATTAAAATAAATAGAAGCACTTAAGGAATTGTATTTTATTTTATAAGCAGCAGTGGGTGGTGTTCCCTTTTTTTTTTTTGTCACCTTTGCGTTCTTTTCTGTACTGGGCTGCCCCAGTGACCTACATGCTGAGAGCAGGAGACACCCAGGAAGTGACGTGTGCGAAGTTTTACAACCTGTTTGCTCGGCTCAGCAACAAGAAGTCGCTGCCGTGCAGCCCAGACAGTCACTTGGTCTGGTCAACGGCAGCTGCATCAGGGGCATTGGGGGTTATCAGGTCAAAGTCAGACAAGCAGTCACGCATACGTCATCGTCATTAGCATCAGTCAGGCCAACAAACGCGCACACGCACACGCACACGCACACGCACACACTGACAACTGAGACTTAGCATGCAAATAAAATTCAAGTCCAAAGAGAGCCTAGATTCGATAAGACGCCGCTAAGAGCGCGCTCTCTTAAATTTAGATTTTCTGGCTAACCGCAACGTATCAGCTGCATTCGGGTCTTAGGCATGAGCTGTGGCCAACAAGCTCTCACATGTGCAACAGGTGGGCGCAAAATGCAGCGCTACACCAATACGCACCAATGCAGCGAATTGGGCAGGCTAAAGGTAAGTATTTGACAGCTTATTTGTGTGCAGCTAACGAAATAAAATGCAAACATTTCTTGAGTGTCTTTTTTTTATGGTAAATATGTATATTACATTTGAAATAAGGGTAAGGGTTTTCTTACACTAAAAAAAAAAACTATAGACGCTTTTTATATAGTTTTCACGTTAATCAGTGGATTTGAATGAGCAAAGATTATAATATGTTTCTCCATATTTGACTAAATGTATTTTTAAAAGAAAATCAAGCATTTTTAACATTGAGAGCTGATATTATTACAACAGTTACCATGTATGCTTAAAATAACACTAAGATGGCAATTCCACGAGCAAATGTGAAAAATTGGTGGGAAAAAATTATGTTTAATGGTTCCTTTATGTACAAACAGCATTAACACACATTTTAAAGATGTTTCTGCAAGTTTTCTAGAGACTTTTTTCAAACTTATTGAAAAATCAAGCTATACCCGAAATGCAAAGAATTGGTACAACAAAACTGTTTTAAAAAAGCATTGATTTAAAAGTAAAACGGAGGGGCGCGGCCTGATGCTCGCCCTAACTGTGCTACGCTGAGAATATCAGTTTATGGACCGTTGACCTGTTTTGAAATACAATTTGGCTGGTTTTTTCTGTACATTTCAGAACTGATACTGACTCTGCTTGGCAGAAGGCTAGAAAGTTTTTCAGGCTAGACTGATTGAATCCTACCACTAGTAGGAAACCCAAAGGGAATTCTCGCATTCCATGCAGTTCGGATACGCAACACGTTTTGGCCTTCCATTCGTTTGGCACTCATTCAACTAAGGACAGCGCAAAAAACTGGCTGCCAGGCAACGCAATTAGTGAAAGTTGGTCAGCCAAAAGGGATGCCAACGCATCAGCTGAAGGTAGAATAAACAAGAAAAAAACAAAACAAAAAAAAAATAAAGTAAAAAAAGATGCATGTGGCAGGATGAGCTTTGTTATGCTTCCCACGTTTGCTTTGCACATGCGACATACAGTTCCTGGACTCGCCCTACGTATCCCTTATTGCATTGTGTGGTCAATTATGTGTGCTTCATTCGGTAAAACGTAGGCGTGGTTGTGGGAGACAGCCCAAACGCAGCTGTCAACAATCTCGGCGTGTGTTTGCTCTCACACCCGTTGCACAAGGATACTGCAGGATACATTTGCGGACAGTTGCAGCGAACCGCATGTGCAACATTTTCAGTGCAACAGAGCAAAGTTAATTGAAATTAAGTGCACGGTGCAGAGCACCACCCTCATGTGTTCGAACAAATAAGTTTGTTATCGATGACGTTGACCATGTAGACGTCGATGAAGATGAATTTGACAGATGGTGGCAGCTAGAATTACATCGGTGTCAAAATCAACTAGGCTAGATAGTCCAAGCTGATAAACTGATAAGAAGGCTCGGTTCTTCTTTTCCCAACGAAATATGAAACAAATTGACAGATTAGAGCGATTTAGTATCTGTTTAGCTGTTAGCTCCTTTAGTTGATTATATTTTTGATAAATCTTATCTTTTACATATTTTAACCAGGTGAGAGTGCTGCAGTAGGGTAAATGCCTCTGAAAAATACTCTAAAACCGCCTTCACAAACATTCTAACAACGAACGTGCCTTCATCTTCATTTTTCTCCACACATAACCTCTTAAATGGACTCGGTGCTTATAGTCCGATTTTCAGAACATAAATATGACATAAAATGAAAAGCGTTACTCAGCGGAATATCAAAATCGAAGTTGACGAATTTGAATTTGATATAAATGGCAAAAGTTAAAGTAAGTACTCATTCGGCGACTGACATACGAGAATATATATTTCAAATGTCATGGCTCCAGATTATTCAATTTAACAAACACACAAACAGGCAACAAATGTATTTCAAAGTTCAGGTTTCTAAAATTTGATTTTTTTAAATTTTTCATAAACTTATCTGGAATTGAGTTAATTTATTACGAGTATCGCATTCTGTAATTAAAACGCTTGATTAAGTTTTAAGTAAGAAAATCTTTTGCTTAAATATCGAGTGTCCGGTGTTCTTTTTTGCGTGGCCTCTGCTGATATTGAGTTAAATAGTTCATTTATATTATTTTATATAGAGCACCATATACATGAGCATGTATTAGATACACACACACACACACACACACACACACACACACACACACACACACACACACACACACAGACAGAGAGACTCATACAGCAAGATAAAATGCGTCTTATCTGCAACGTGCGCCTAAAAGATGCCACAAAAATTTACTAGTTATGAGGTAAACCAAAAGTACAAGCTTATAAAAAGTAAACAGTAAAAACTCTCTTTGACGTTCTGCGATAGTCGGGGCATCTTTCGCCGCTAAAGAAGAGAGTTTAATTCATGAATAATGGGTATTATTGCCCGATTCAGAAAAGATTAAGCGAAAACCTGCGTCCAGAAGAGCCTTCCGCCTAATAGGAGTGTTCTTTAGTAGAGTTGGCACTGTATTTGCTTTTAAGTTAATACATTTATATTTATATAGTACATAAAACCACAAACAACCAAAACTTCAAGAATACTTCAAGAATAATTTTCATGAAGTTGCCAGATTCTATTTTGATTTTTTTAATGTGAAAGATAATTTTTTTTTTTTGTGGTAATATTACTAAAAAAACAGCTCGTTTTCATCTTAACATATACTAAGTATATGTGCAAATAAATCAACCAAATCAACACTGACCACAAATTAAAAATTTGAAATATCTGACAAAGTAATTACAGCTTTATTAACCAAAGGACACACATGCACACGACTTGTGGTTAAGCTGCAGCGGATGCAATTTCCGGATATCAAAGCATATTTCTTTAATAGGAGCAACTATTGCAGCAGGTCGCATAGGAAATACTTGCTGGGCCAACAAACAAACAGAAACACATACAAACAGCCAGACAGAGAACATTTGCTTAATTAACTGTTAATACGTGCCAAATTGACCGGAACACACAATAGTCAAATTCAAAAGCTGAATAGATGGCCAAGCAAAGAAGCTGCATTGTGAGCAAGGAGAAGAGTGGCGCAGACGGAGAGCATAATGCAACGCAACTTGACATTGACATTGTGCGCGTAATAGGGCAAGCCATCCAAACTCTTGTACAGCAAGAACTAAGAGAGCGAAAGCTGGTACTGGCTCTCTTCGGTCTGCATGCTGCTGGCTGGCTATAAAAGCGCCTTACGCTGGGTTCGCACTGCACTTGCAAACGAACCTCCGAACGCTACGCACACACAGCTGCTAAGCTCTACAACGCACGCGAAGCGATGCGACAGCACGCAACGCTGCAACAACAACAACAACAGCAGTAAGAAGAAGAAGAGGAAGAACAACAACAACAACAACAACAACAACAGATTACAAATTTGTTTTAGTTGCCTTTCTGTGCGAGACTCGCCCGTTAACATGCATGGCCATCGGGAAAGAGGTCATTTCACACACTTCACTCCGCTCAACGGCCACAACAACGATAATAATGTTTTGGACGGCAGTTGCCTCCTCGACGGTAACACCAACTGGTATGGAACAGAGTCCTGGTATGGCCAGCGCAGCGCCCACTTATCAACGGCACCATACGAAGCCGCCGCGCGTCGTTGCCAGCAGCTGGCAAATTAGTAATGCAGCATTCAGGGCGCGACGCTACGAGCAACAGCAGCAGCAGCTACAAGCACAGGAGAGACTAGAACAACAACAACAGCAACAACAACAAGAACAAGAAAAGCAGCAGCAACAAGACTCGGAAATCGAAAGTGCAGAGCCAAAACAAAAATCGACAAACAATAAAATCAAGAAAGTCAGTCCAAAAAGTGAGAATAAAATCATTAAAGCTTTAACGTCCTGTAAATGCACGCAGAAAGACACAAACTAGAAAGGAAAGACAATAAATATACAAATCAAAATACAGTTACAATTCCTATAACGGACAAGTGTTTCGCATAAAAATAAAAAAAAAAAACCAGCAAGTGCACTGTGAAAAACTTTTGAATGACTTTTCGAACAACAACCCAAATAAATATCTACTTATACAAATCAAAGAATATATATATATATATAAAAAAGCAAACTAAGGCATAAAACTTTTATTTGAGTAGCCTAACAAGAGCTGAGCTGATTTCAGAAAACTTTGAAACTCAATTTAAACGCAAGAAAAAATTGCAAATTGGTGAAAACAAATTGATTTGAAATATTAACAGTGTAACAGCAAAAGGTAAGCTTCCCATTTCGAAAACATGTTACCCAAATGTGCAACTATGTGGCATGCAACCAACGGCCGACGTACGTCTAATTTAAGAATTTTAGAGAATATAGCTGAAAAACTTTGAAATTCCTATTAAATTGCGAGGCCCATGTTTTGTGTTTCATTGGAAAATTATGCTTCAGTATTATATTCTAACATTGGATGCCGAAATTAAAAAGTTGTTTATGAGGCTTAAAGACTTATGTGTTACCCGGCTTTGCCCGTGCCAAGTGTGTTTCACTCATCTAACTTCTTGCCGTTGACTGCCATTTCCATCCTGACATGTGGATTTGTTCCAATTTGATATGCAAATCAAATTTAAGAATTTTAAAATATTTTAAAATTAGTATAAACCTATTTTGTCAGTAAATTTTCTACCTAGCGCTCATTAACGTTCTAAGAGTTGACTATTCCAGCTACTTGGCTCGCACGTGTTGCGCTGTGGCCATAATCCAATTAGACAATCTTATTTATGTTTATCCCTTAATGGTCGTTAACAATGGCATTTGGTTATTATGCTCAAAATTCAATGAATTATTCGCTTGACTATGCTCAGTTATAAAGCATGGACGTCCACTTAGTAAGTTAATTGAATTCCATTGAGTTCTGTAAGTGGGGCATAAATAGTGTATATATAAATCTGTCCCTAGTTTTTGCCGTTGTCCATACGAGAGCCAATTAGAATTTGCTTGCGTATACAACCACCCTAAACGCCCACGATGTTTCTAATGGAAATGCAGCTTGATGCTTTATACTCGTGGCAGCGCATGCAAAACAGGACAAATCCGTTTATGTGAACACGATGTGCAACTTATGAGCTTAGTCCGGCAAATACACAATTCAAGGTTGTTGATGGGCAGCAGATTGGCGAATTTCTGGAACCAACGTTTGTGAACGTTATTGAAATTTACTAATCATCAGTCAAAGCGGGTTATCCCATATTAAAAATTATCCATTTTTTTTTTACCAAAATAATCAGTCATGTTGTGTTTACAAATATTTTCTTTTTCTTTTTTTTCCCAATAAAGACACAGGCTTGCAGAAATATATAAAAAATATAAATACTTAAAATGAGTGGGAATATTTTTGTTAGCTGTTAATTCAATTGTTTTATATACAATCTATTGAAAGATTACTTGATTGAAGTAGAATAAACAAACACAAGACTGCCCTAGTCGGGAGTGCTCTGCTAGGAGATACCCTCAACATCGCGCCGATCTGCCCACGCGCACATTCTGGCTTCCTTCTACACATTCCTGCTATCGTCCGATATTTGTGATATTTGAAAAGCATTAATATGGCATCAAAATGCGTGTAAATACTAAAGCTCAAGACTATAGCTATAAAACTTGGTTCTGTTATTTAAGTTTTTGGAAACGAAGGAAGTTATCCGAAAAGTGACATTTAATGTATGCATATATATACTATAGAAAAGTATACTATGTATGCAATAGGAAGGTATATATATCAAATTTGGTGTCACCAGCTTTCAAAATCTTAGAGATGTGGTCAAAAACACGGATTTTGATACCGGTGTTTATCGATATCATGTAAACTGGGCAAGTTTCATATCTTTAGCTCTTATGGTTTTCGAGATCGACGCGTTCGGACAGACTGCCAGGCAAATAGACGGATATGTCAATAAGTATGAACTCGGCTATTGATACTGAGCAAAAATATACATACTTTATGCGTTCGAAAATACTTCCTTATGCCTGTCACACAAATCTTTATACCTTTTTACACATTTTAAACGTGTTCAGAGTATACGAAATAAAACGACCTTGACAAATAAAATGAATTAAACTTCAATTAAAATGCACAGTATATACTTAGAGTGCATACTAACATAGATATTGTCAGCAACAATAGGCTCATAATTTTATGACATTTTCCCCAACAAACTGGTTTATATTTTTCTAAAATTCAGCTTAAATTAAATTAAAGGCAGCTTTTTGCCAATATTGCGGTCAATTATTTAATTACTATTGTTTTTGTACGCGTTCATAAAGGGAAAAGAGTACATTCACTTTGTGCACTGTCCGTTCGTCCGTTTGTCTGTTTGTATGGATGCAATATTTTCTTAAAATTTGGAATAATATCCGTTTATACTAGCAACAAAAAATTGCTCAGATTATATAATTAAAATCATTATTATGGGTTACCTAAGTTGGATAAAGATGGATTTATCTAAAGTAATATTGTTTATATTTAAGGCTTTTTGCATTTGAACAAGTATAACGCGGTCGATTGCACCCGACTGCAATATAGATATCTATATTTATATATTTATATACATATTATTTATATATGTTTTCTGTTTTGTTTGTTGGGCCCATAATATTGAGTAAATGTCAAATAAATGCATGCAATGTGCATTGTCTCTTCTTTAATTGAGTTTCATTCGAAATTAATGAATGCAGTTAATTTGAGTTTCCCTGAACTTTACTATATTTACCTTAGCAACCAAATATGGAAAAAAAAGTGGCGACAGGCATGGAACAAACATATGCAGACAGATATTAGTATGGATTAATGGATAATACGGATTCAAAGAGGAGTACGACCCATTACTTTTAGAACTTAAATATTTTCTAGGACGCAATGCTTTGTTGGCCTCCAAATGAGTATATGCAATATACTCTACCAAAAATAAAAGCCAACTCACCTATGTTTAAATATATCAACAAAAATGTTTTAAGATAAAAGAAAGAAAGACCGCAACAGCAAATTATTCTTGCGAATCATACTGTTTTGAGCCACTGTGCTGGCCAATAACATTTCTTTCTAGCCATATTCTCGTAGAACCCAAAGACAACTTTTAGGACGAAAGGAAACTCGGTCAATTGTTTTCGGAGAACACGTATCCGATTTCTTTCCGAACTTCACCCAAACTAACCTGTGCATATGCGATTAATTTTTGTATTGCTCTATTGAAAAGGCAAGTGCGCATTATGATGAAACCTTTGGGAGAGAGAGCTTTTTCGAATTGACCAAAGGATTTTCAAATGCACGCCCCGATATAAAACACAGTCTCCGATTATTCACTGCGCGCGACTTGTTATCAAATAATTAGCATACTTTTGCGAGCAGTCGCCATTTTTGATTGATGACTGGCAACGGAAACTGGCCCACACGCGAGACACACGCGCAAACTTACAGACACACACATTTAAATGTCCCTTAAATCCCAGCGCTAGTCAATCTGTCAAATGTAGTGCTAATCGACGCAAATATTGATGGATGTCCTGGATAAAAGGATTGTGGCGGTTGACCACAGCATAAAAAATGGAATGCGAAAATGTGTGCTTAAAAAAAAAATTACAAAATCAATTTTTACCGGGTTATAAATAGTTTTCAAATAGTTGTGTGCGATAATGCGATAATATAGAAAAACAGGGAGAATCATTATCAAGAATTTAAAAGGTTGCATTCATTGTATTCTTCCTTATGTATAGTCCTTCAAAGCTGTGTCATTTATAGAATTCAGGAATTAACTTGCAATTTTTTAAATTAAAATAGACTTGATGGAGTATAAAATTATAATTTTAGCCCATGAAACCAATTTGAAAAATAATACAAATAACAAGTTCAATACCTTTTGTGTATATAGCATACTTAACTAAGCCCACCTTTATTAACACTTGCGGCCATTTATCAGTATATTATTTAATGCTTTTTAAGGATTCGTTTTTTACAAACAGCCATACAACTGCTGAGACATGCCAAAAACCTATTTGCTTGCATGTTAACTGAACATCGGAAAGGTCAGGTCAGGTTATAATTGATCCATGGGCTCACAACAAACGGAACCGAAATCGCTTGAGAAAGTGTACGAAAATGCGTACTCTAGAATATTCCTAAGTCTTTGTAAATATTTAGAAAATGTTCATATGCTGCGACAGTCCTTAAGCAATGCACCCTTAACACCCATCCCACGTACAGGGCTCGCTGACGGCGGGTAGTTGGAATGAAGTTAAGCAAGAGCAAAAGAGGCAAATAAGCAGCAGTGAGAAGTTGACACAATGCGACATTACGTTTGAAAAGCATGCCAAAAGACGCTTACACACACAACCTGGGAAACATGAATTAATATTAGAAGGAAGCAAAATATTTTTGCCATGGCAATGACAATAGCCAAAACCCAAATTGAAACCGAAGCAGTAACAAATGCAACACGCGCACAGCAAGCCCATAAATCCGTATCGAATTCAATTCGCAAGCCCAAGATTTTGTCTAGCTTTAAATGTTCAAGTGCTACCCAATCAATAGAAAAATAAACCAGAATATATTATTTACATAGCACCCAAGGTTGAATACCCTGAGCAGACAGCTTTCAGAAGTCGTGCTTGTTTTTCTTATATGTATTTCAATTAACGAGCGATTTTTATGAGATATCGAAATGCCATGATTGATCTATAAGATTTGAATTTTCCAGCAATAGTTCTAATGGCAATCTGGCCGACTCTAACAAACATATATATGAACTTCTAATATTTGTACTAGCACAAACGCGAAACATTGCCAAGTGTCCGCCAGTTTGATTAAAAACTGAGAGCCATGTCTATAACAACTCGTCTGTTAATATTCATCTAGAACTTTATATATAATAAACGAATTTATAAATGTGCTTGTATTTATATTTTCAATGCTGACACAGCTGTCTATAAATTGAGCTTCACCACAGAATAAAAAAAAAAACGCTGAATAAATCAGAGGAAAAATTGCAATAAAAAATTCTTCAAAAGCAGCTTAGTTAGGTGCGTGTTTGTGCGTGTGTGTGTTTGTGTGTGTGTGTGTGTGTGTGTGTGTGTGTGTGTGTGTGTGTTGTGTGTGTGTGTGTGTGTGTGTTGTGTGTGTGTGTGTGTGTGTGTGTGTGTGTGTGTGTGTGTGTGTGTGTGTGTGCGTGTGGGCATATTGTGTGTGTGTGTGTTGCGGGTATGTACTAATGAGTGTGCGTGTTTGTGGGGGCTGGTCTGTGCTCCTCGTGTGTTTCAATTCATGTCTTGTCTTTTTAAATATTTCAACATTTAACACATGCACATTTTTTGCATTGCGTAAAACATGAATCATACATTTTTTATACCCTGAACCCATTAAAAATGGGTATAAGGGTATATTGTATTTGTGCAAAATGCAAATGTATGTAACAGGCAGAAGGAAGCATCTCCGACCCCATAAGTATATATATTCTTGATCAGCATCAATAGCCGAGTCGATCTAGACATGACCAAGGATCTCAGAACATATAATAGCTATAGACTTGAAACTTTAGATGTATGTGCTCCTAGTGCCTGCGCAGATCGAGTTTTTTCCGATAATCGATAACTTACTCCGTTTCCAAGCAATCGATAAAAATCGATATCGATAATCTGTTTTTTGGGCAATTTTGGTAAATAATAAGAGCTAGACCCCTAAACTTGACATATAAAAATAGAATATATATATGCTTGGTGTTGGAAGAAGAGGGTTCAGGGCATCCCCTAGTCGGGAGCTCCCGACTAGAACCTCTTATTGTTTTTCGTTGTTATTATTGCTTTCATTTAAAACATGTTTGCATGGCGTTTGTGCTAAACTTTTAGTTTCGTTTTGGAGTTGCACGTGCGGGCATGTTTAAGCCCACGCGCTTAAGTTATAGCATATTCGAGAAGCCTCCGAGTAGCCCAACACTACAATATGCTTCAAAATTGCATGAGTGGACGGGGCTGTCAATTTGTTAAAGGTACAAGGGAAAGGACAGCACTTAAAACTTGACAGAGCAGCGTCGTTTACAGCGCAGGATGTAAACATCCTGTTTTACTTTTAATGCACCTGTAGCTAAAAAGTTTTCTAATTATAGTTTATTAAGTTTAGTTAAATTTTTTAGTCGAATGAACCTGAGCTATTTTCTAAACTATTTCTCAAAAAAAAAAAGATGTCAGCAATTTCAGCTGAACCAGGAGAAGCCTTTCAATAAGCCGCGCATATATTAAACTTTGCAACTAATTTAATAAATTTAAAGTTATAATGAGCTCAGGCTCATTGCAACGCGTCGTATGAGTGACATGCAAAGGCTTGCAACCCGATATATAAATTAGCAAAAACAGCGGGGGTGGCAGCAGGAGAGAACAATAGAAGGAGAGAGGCCAAGATATCTAGCAGCTGTGTTATGTGCGTCTGTCTGTATGCACATGTGCGTGTTTGTTTAAACAATATTATCTCACGGCTGGCGACAGGCAGCAAATTTATTGTTATCTGAGAACAAACAGCTAGACCAACATAGTTTAACTGAATAGGTGACACTTTCTAAAGAAGACTCCGTCCTTTGTTGTTATGCCATCTCACTCTGAATATATATATCCCTTTCTCTTTCTGTTTCACTGACTTATACTAGTCAATTAGCTATGCCCAAGTGCCTGAGCCTGGCGTGTCGTACACCAAATTCCTGAAATTGTGAGCTCTGCAAGTATCCGTTTGACTTTAAGTTAATGTCGCCCAAATGTCGCGCAGCGCAAAGCAAAACTTTAAGAGGCTTTCGGTTTCCTTTGCTAGTATAAATTGTACTGATATTTAAATTGTTATTAGAGAAAATAATAAATAAATAGAATAGATAAATAGAGGAAATTCCATGAATGAAGAAAAGACAATATTTAATCAGAAAATAGGTAAATAAATAAAAAAAATAGAAACAAACAAAATAAATAAATAATAAAGAAAATAATAAATTATAACAAACTAAGCTCCGGACCGGATCGTGGCATCAAAAATATATTTGAAAAATAATCCAGAAAAATAAATAAATGGGACCTAAGCTATGCATCATAAAGCCTTCCATCTATTTATTTTTTTATTTAATTCCATTAATTACAAACATTAATATATATTTTAGAGAGATCTGTAGATATGAAATAGAAACATTTTAACATTTATTTTAAAGTTCCTTTAGATATTGGACTGACGCATAATACTTTATAGATACTTGAACGCACTTTAACTTTCTGTTCTGTCATTTCTATGGTCTATGTTTCTTTCGAAAAGGTCGTAGAGAATCCTTCCAAAAATATGAGAGTCGCCATCAACACGCATTTATGCCAATAACATGGACAGTTGAAGCATATATTCAATTTGTCAATTTGCTTTAGAAGGGCGGAGTAATGGGGCGTATGTGTAATGCACAAAAATGCTCTGAAATATTTGCTGCTGTTTACGCCATTTGCATAGTTCTGAGGGGAAAATAAAAAGAATCTGAAAAAAGGAATGCTGGAAAAATCATGCCAATAGAGACAAGAAGAAGATAAGTAAGAGCAAATAGCAGCAACATGCCACGCGTACACAAAGAGGAAAATAGCTATCGGGGCATTAGAGCATAATGAAAAGATACGAAAAGAGCAAAAAACCAAACCGCTGGGAAAAATATATAAAAAAGAACATAAGGCAAATTAAATTCAATGCGAATAAAAGGACTTTGCAGTACTATGTACTATTTAGCTAGGATTAGAAATATTTAGTTAATGCAGCAGATTATGACTTTCCTGACAAGTTGAATTTAATATTAAAAATAGAAAGTAGGAACTGACTTGCATCACTTTTTAATGCACTGCATATCTATTCTTGCTTAATTTCAATGTTTTCTTTTTTTTTTTCTGAACAAAGCTAGCCGCATCGCTGCCCGACTGTCAAGTAGAGACAATTTTTATATTAAAATTCACTGTAAAAAATATTTACAAAAGAAAAAATAAACAAAAGAAAAGGGGCTAGCATATAATCTTTGACTGAACGAAATGTTCAGTAGCAGTAAATAGAGATGTGTATCATTTATTATCTCAAGCGGATATTATCTCAGAGGATTGACATATAGAGAAGTCGTCGCTGATAATTCTTTCTTTTTTGTAAATAAGGCACCAAGATATCTTATATTCAATATTTAAAGCGTACAAATTCTTTGATAAATGGGCACAGCTAAATATGCTTTCCTTTCCTTTAAAAAAGAGTAGCCGAATAAAGGTGTTGCGTCATTTTGTTTGAACAGGTGAACAGAAAGCGGGTGCTTTGGGGCAAAGTGTACGCTTTTTACGCAACATTTGTCAACCTTTAAAGGCTTATGTGCGTGGGTGTGTGTGTGTGTCTGTGTATTTATTGGTCAAGGATCAAATAAACCAAAAAATGTTTAATTAGGTATATTATTTGCGCTGCCTCGTGCTCGCTGAAATCGAATACAAACGTAAATGTGCTCATGTTCTCATATTACAAATTACGTTTCTAGCAACTCACTACAAAACAAACAATTCTTATGAACTGCATAACTCCATGTAAAATATTCTCGGAATCTTTTGGTATCACTTGTTTTCCTGCTGGCTCGTCCCCTTTCATATGAATGTCATCAATCCGACAGCTAAATATCAAAATTGCATGAGATTGTCAGCATGAATGAAACAAATGCAACAATGATGCCTTTTCTCTCTCTCTCCCTCTCTCTCTCTCTCTTTCTCTCTCTGCGTGTGTCTTTGTGCATGCATGTGTGTGCATGTGCACACGCATGTGTTTTTATGTGATAACCCTTCGACCCAATCGACTTTCAATTATTTTTATTATTATACGTAAATACTTGGAAAAGTTTGCAATGGTAAACTAATATTTTAGTCTTTTTCATACGGTTTATAATATTTAATACATATGCAAATTTATTAAATAAAGCTACCTAAAGGGTAAGTAATTTAGTAGAATGCCAAGAGTAAGTGGCGTTAAAACTACAAGTAACCAAAAGTTTATATTTCATTGTTAGCTTTAGAATAAACTTACAAAGTTAGTGGAAAACCATTGACAGATACAGACACAGACACGGACCTTAAAACTTTTCACGACGTCCGTACGTCCGTCGGCAATTTGTTCTTGGCAACAAAATGCTGAACAATCTTTTGCCTGCTTTTAGTTATTTAGTTATTTAATGGTATTTAGTTAACTTTAAGTAAACCACACTCGGTGCAACAGAGTTAAAGTTGTTGGCCCAAGCGAATGACAACGGGCAACACACAGATGCAGTCCCTGGGCAAATTGAAAACAACATAGGAAGTTTAGAAACTTTACATACAGTTGAAGTTCGATTATCTTTGATACCAGGGACCAGGCTTATTAAGGATTATCAGAAAATTCTGGCTTAATTCCATGAAATGCATTTATTTAAAATATTCGTTTAAGGTAGCTTATGCGAAATCAAAAGAGAAAGTTCTATTTCCCTGTTAAGAGATGTGAGCGGTTAATAAAGTTCCCAATAAACGAATTTCGAATGTATATTTTAATAGAAACATTTAAACACCGTTTGCAGACAAAATAATGAATAGTAGTGCACCATACAATTTGCATATAAACTTCAACAATATAAAAACAGACTTACAAAGCAATTACGTTGGATATATAAAATAAATAGTCCAAATGATGAATCCATCAAAGCTTTAATACACTCTGCTGGTAGATAAATGAGTTGAAAATAATGGCATTGCTCATTAGATGCGCTTTCTAGCAGCGCCAGTCCTTCAGGTAGATCTGGAGTTAAGTGCCAGGCTGGTGCTTGAGTGCAGTCTCTTAACTTGGCTCATTATAATATGCCAACAATAACAAATAATTCCTTGCCAGTTGCCATTACAAAAGTATGTGGAAATATAGCTATAAATATTAAATTGGCCTCTGCATCGATTTATTTTGTCTGCTGATGCTTGATGTCCTTTGTTGGGTGCGTGCGTGTGGGTGGTTTTGGATGTGGGCGCCAGTTCTCAGTTCTATTAATTGGCATTAGCTGTGCACTTGAAACTATTAAAGTCTTGTTTTCTCTTGTTCTGTCCTCTTTATCTTTGCCTCTCTAGACAGCACATGGATTTACCAAGGCCACTAAAAAAGCTGCTCAGCTGCAGTTTGTGTCGACGCATGTATGACCCAAGCGATGCCGCAAGGTGGCCCAAGGATCTTAACTGTCGGCATACCTACTGCGCCGGCTGTCTGCAGCAGCTGGCTGGCTACCTGAAGGTGACATGTCCCCAATGTGAGCAGGAGACTGAGCTGCCGGCATTTGGATCGCTACCCACCAATGAGGGTTTGCTGTTTATGCTGCAACAGCTGCCGGCTTTGCAGCTGGGCATGGCCATGATGCAGATGCAGACGGAGCAACGATTGCAGCCGACTAGCAGCCGACTAGCCGGGCGCAACTGGCTCATTGAGGTGGGTTTGGGTAGACAGCCGCGCGGCGCCCACGAACATTGCAATGTCCATGCCATGCCCAATACGACATGGTGCCACACCTGTCAGCGGCTGCTGTGCCGCGTATGTATCGTAGATGGGGAGCACCATAAGCATCAGATGACGCGTCAGCTAAACATGTGCGATATGTTGCGTCGCCTGATCGGCCAGGAGCTGAGCACAATTGAGGAGCGCATTACGTATGCCGGAGTGCTAGCCGCGGCCGATATGTCGCTGTTGCGCCGACTCTTCGAAGCCTGCGACACGGTGCAGCAGCATGTGCAGCGGCAATTGCGTCAGCATGCGCCAACTCTTCACATATGCCACATGCGCGACTGGTGGCTGCGCGTCACCGAGCAGATGCAGACGCATGGCATCTTCGGGGGCAACTTTACGCGCTTCGAGCTGCTGCGTCTGCTGAACGAGCTGCAGGTGCAGTGCAAGAAATTCCACAAGCAGATGCTGTACATCTATCGTGATTGTCGTTTGCGCGCAAGCATCCGCGAGGGCGGCTTCCAGCTGCTGGACTTTGAGCAACTGCATCGCCGACTCATGTCGCTGCGCCAGCCGCCATTTGAATCGGCGCCGGCTACAGTGGAGCCGCCGCCGCAACTTCTACTAACAAACTACTGCATCTATGAATACTGGTGCACTATTCAAAGGCAGCTGTTGCCAGCAGATCTGGAGGAGGTGGAGCAGTTGGAGGAGGACGCTCCAGTGTTGCAGCTGCAGCGGTTGCCATTGGTGCAGGTGAATTACCCTCGCATGTCTACATTGTGGGAGGGCATGAGTGGCTCCTCCTCCGACAGCAGCAACAGCCGCAGCAGCAGCGTCAGCAGTAGCAGCAGTGACACCCCCAACAACAAGTACAACAACCCGGCGGGTCTACTATTTGAGGACAACGCCTACAATCGGCTAAATCTAGACCAGCAGCTGCGCACAGTCAAGCAACGCAAAGATGTGGCACAGCCTGCCAATTTGATTTTCTGCATGACGCAGCGCACTCAAAGCTTGCAACTGACAGTTGAATCACATCCACAAAGCGTCGATTTTGACTTCGATATGCCCAGCACATCCGCAGCTGCAGCTGCAGCTGCTGCAGCAGTCGCCGCAGCCGCAGTCACCCACGAAACAGTTGCAGCCACCCCAGGAGCAGTTGCGGCCACCCCAGCAGCAGTTTCGGCTGCCCCAGGTGCAGTTCCAGCCGTCCCTGTCGTTGGTGCAGCCGCAACCGCAGCTGCTCAAGTGGGGCTGATCCGTCGTCCTAATTCTATGATGTATCCCATCTACTATCTGGACATGGTCATGGAGGACAAGCCAGTGGGTCGTGTGCTTATCGAGGTGCGCAACGACGTAGCACCGCGCATGGCAGAGAATTTTCGCGCACTGATCCTGCACGAGCGTGGCTTTGGCTATAGAGGCTGCTCCGTATTTCAGGCCTGCGGCGATGAGAGTATTATCACTGGCGACTTTGAGCTACAGAATGGACGTGGCGGTTATGCAGCCATCGATGGTGGTTTCTTTATACCGGATAACACTGGGTTGCCGCCAAAACGCGGCGCAGTCGGCATGCGACGTGGCCAGAAGCGTTGCGATAATAGTGGATCTGTGGGCAGCCAATTTCGCATGGTGCTTTATAAGAGGCTCCCTTTTTCGGCCATATTTGGCTTCATTGTGGATGGGATCGATGTGCTGGACAAGATAGCAAGTACGGCCAGTGCAACTGGACGGCCCGCGATGTGCACCTTTATCAAGAATTGTGGCGAGTATCGCCACAACAGAATCTAAATGTTTGCTAGTGACAGCCCCTCCCCACCCCTAGAAACTCTGCTTAATCGTTTAGAAAATTATTGACAACTCAACGAGTTCTCAGCCCAGCTCAAAGAAACCTATTACAAAACGATATATAAAACATAACCAAAGCGACAAAGTCCAGCGAATATATATTTAAAAGAAATCTATATATATGTGTATGTGTGTAAACGTATAATCCATACAACCAATCTTTTTTGGGTATTTGGCATGGATAAGAAAATTTTTTTGATAAGCATTTTCAAAAAATATTATGAAGATGCATCAAAGGAATAACACTACACACAAATTTTGGATACTAGTTTTTTTTTTAAAGAAATTTTACCAGAAATTTTGACAACAAACCATAAACATATATAGGTCGGCCCAACTCGACTGATACCCTGTAATCATTTTGAACAAACAAAATAGTTAAAGAAGAACTTTAGCACAAGACTAAACATGGAATACACTTAAACCAACTTGAGTGAATATTTTGAGAAAAACTTTCGAATATACATGGAAAGATTATTAATGAGATCTTAACAGGAAATATTTACAAGGACGTATATATATTTATATATATATATATAAATATTTATTCCTAAACAATATTGAAGGTATATAAAAACAGATTTGGCTTATACACATACAAAATACTATCAATTATATTTTTAGTGCTTGTAATAACTGCAATAATTACATTTGCAGATTACAGGGTATAAGAAAAAATGTTTTTTTTTGAAGTGCGGAAGAAGACACGGACCTATTCTCTAGATCAAATACATGTTTACTGCAACAGCAAAGAAGATTAACTACAGACAAATGTATTTTCCGCAAAGAGAAATTATTAAAATTTTGAGAAGATACTTAAAACGCCAAACAGGTGTTGGGCGCAACGAAGTTACCTGGAGAAAGAAATTGCTTGCAACAAAGTTGGAGTTTAACTAAATGTAAGATTTATTAGTTCTAAGTACTACAAAAATGTATTTCTTGAAGCTGAAACATTCATCGATAAATCTGACTCAATGGTGACTACAATCTCTGCAAACAATTGTTTGCAACAACAGATCTAATGAATATCTATGAATTTCTTTACTTTAGACCTGAAAAAATTAATCCATATTAAGCACATCTAGAGTGTTTTAATTTCATTTTACTATCATAATATATCGGAAAGGATTTAATATTTAGTTGGTCAACAACACTGCATACAGTAATATCAAAATATGAAAGTAATCAAAGCGGAAATCTACATAAAACTGAATTTAAGGCCGTGAAACAAAGGTATTCAAGATATTTATGAGAAAACTCTTTTAAACTAAGTCAACAAACCATCCAAGTTTAAGAGTAATCAAGAGCTGTACTACTTTAAATGAACATTTTAGTCCAAATATACAGTTAAACATAAGAAAATAATTATATACAAATATTAATCAAAGTGAAAAATTACAATATTCCTAATATACACTAATATACACAATACTACACATTGTATTCCTCAGTTTATTCACTTTTTTTGTTTGAATTATTTGTTCGAATTATTGGTAATCTAATTCGAAAATGATTTTTATAAAGTTAGATATTTAAATTCAATCGTAGGATAGTTAGAAAGAGCCACCAAAAGAGGAAAATTGTTACGAATAGAAGAAACGAAGGAACCCAAACATATTGCTTAAAATAAGATTGGGAGAATTGGGAAATGCTGAATGCAAGTGAAAGTTAACGTTGTGTCGGATATTTGGAATGTGATATAAAATTGAGAAATGCAACAGAGAGACTAATTCTGTTCTTATGTTGAAAAGATTTTAAATTTAATTGATTCAAGCCCAATTAATCTCACTTCAAGTGACTTTTTTACAGTTTTTCTTATGTTTTTTATGCTATTATATTTACACGCAATCTATATGAAATTATATTGAAATATTTACAATGAAATGTTATGAACATAATCAAAATATCTTAATGTATTAATGTCTGAATCTATGTGTTTGAGTGTCTATTTATATTTGCAAATGGAGCGTACGACTCCCCCACGTACCGATGAATTACATAAAGTTTCTCAGAGCATTGATGAGACGTACAAATTACAAATCAAATTCATAAGCTCGCTAATTGAAGACGAAAAGTTGGCCATTTCAATTTGGTAACAAAGCTAACAAGCGATACAAACTATTAAATCGAAGATAATAGGTTGATTATTTGAAACACATTTACAAGCACACAAAATAAATGTGCCAACAAATACAAATATAATAAATTAGATTTGAAAGTTATTGATGTCTATATATATGCGCATATATGCTCAAGGCAAAGCCAAACCAGTTATTTGAATTCTATGTGTTTTAATGAAAAATGTAAAAGCTGAAGATTTCAATAAATGTTGTTCCAGCAATTGTCTTTCTTTATTATTAAACGAAAATGAGGGTGAAAAACACATTAAAATCGTTTCAAAAGCCCAACAATTGATTTAAAGGCAGGATCATTTTCATCTAGATCTGTCAACATTACAAGATAATTCATCATCTAGACCATTCACTACAACATTTCAATATCGTAGTAGAATGTATTTTCGTCTAAAATATATTCAGGTATTTGCATTTAATGCATTCTTTACGAACCTATTAACCAAGGTAAAAACCCCCTATGTACCTTTCCTGAATTCCCTGCACCTCTAGCCTTATTATTTTAAAATAAAAGTTAGATTTAAATTCTTAGAGAACAAAATATAGCTCAATTTGATACATGTATAGGTAGGAAACTGTTCTGTTTTTGAATAACGAATCACTTTTACAATCAGCAATCTGATTATATTAGGATATCTTATATATAAATGTGACACATACCTTATAGAAAACATCCGGAACATATTGTTTATCAGTCGATTCGCGAACATAACCCAATTCGGGTGCATCCTTGGTGGGTATCAGACAATTATCACGCACAAGAGCCATGCACTGAGCGGACACAGCATAGCCTTCCATGTGCACCTGTTTTGTTTGATCACCTTTTAAAGAGATTAAAGAAGAATATAGTATATGAATAAGGCTGGGTATTGTTATTTCATCTAACACTCACCAGTCACACATATGGTCACAAATTTGGAGCCGAAAGTGCCATTTGTGGCATATTTACATGGATTGGGATGACGATTCTGCAGCTCACCCGCTGATATGCACTCCTGAGCGGTGAGAAAATGTGTCTCAATGCCGCGTATTTGTTTAACAGTGCCCGCACTGGCATCTTCCGTAATCAGATCCGTAAAGATCCAGCCAATCTGTCACAGGAATTTAATTCATGAATAAATCCAAATAGGAAAATGTTCAGGCACACACCTTTTTAAGCCCTAATGCCTTGGCTACGGCATCTACTTCATCTGCGCCCTCATCTGGACAGATGTTAATCGAATCGCGTGATGATTCCTGCGGTGGCTCATAGATGGCAGCTACTTTTGCGCGTATACCCAGAGGCACATCCGCATGCTGCTCGTAGGTGCCATATAAGAAGCCCATGCGCTGATGGCCCGTGGTGCGCCAATAGTTCAAGAAGCGCTCCACTATTTTGGTATTCTCAAACATAACGTTGTCCACGTGACGATAGGTCTGACGATTAAGCGTTATGGCCGACGGCTGACACTTGGAGCAGATGCCCTTGGGCCACGGAGGATGCTCCCGACAGCCGGGCTTAATGCGGCAATTGATGTCATCGAATACAAAGTACTTGCCATGATCCATGCCTGAAGTTTGCTTGCGTATGTATGAGTGGAAGGACAAGTGCTTGATATTGTGATCCTTAAGATAGCTCTCGTCATAGGGTTCCAGCGGCGAGCAGTGTACGCAACGACCATTGGCATTGTGATGACAACTGGGGAAAATAAATGAGAATTAAAAACAAATTAGTAAATAACGTTAAAATTCGATGCAATTCAACACAGCTCATTAAAAGCATTCCTTAGAACGTTTAAATATTTTAGATTCCAACATATATTACCGTGAATAGTGTTTTCTTCAGCTAATATCTAAACATTCAGTAAATGTTGATAACCTATCTACAGTTGAGCCCTACTTATCGCTATCGGCTTTTTCCGAGCCTCCTCTCTTGCACTTACAGCTTACTATCGCGTTCACGCTTGATGGTGCCATCAGATTTAAGCAGCTGTAGATCAACTTCATCCTCGATCACATTAATGGAGGGACGTGGGTTGTTGCCAAGCTTCTCTGTGGACAATTTGGTGGCGCTATTGTATGACAAGTTCTCAATGGCTGTGGTGCTCGTGCGCTGCAAGTTGATAAAACTGATTATTTATGAAATAAATTTACGATTATATGGAAACTTACACGTGATGAAGTGCCCGCAATTTGTTTTAGATATAACATGTCGCCATGCTTGAGCATGCTGCCCACCAGCTGGGAGCCATTCGCTTGCAGCTCTGTGGCAAAACTACGCTCCATGAACAGACCAAAGCCATCGACTTTGAGTGCGTTCTGTACGCTGTCATAAAGTTGTTTAAGATTTGATTTTGGCGAGATTTCGATACGTTTGATGCCCTCCGCAGACTGCACGCGTATTAGCTGTGAACCGATCAGTATATATTGAAATGAATGAGTTAATATAATTAATTAAAATCAAATAATGCGCGATCACACCGATTGTTTACATAACGTAAAGAGACGATGGCGCACAAAGGCATAAACAAAATTGCGCTTCCTATAGATGAATTGCTCGAGCAGCAGCGGTGCACTGGCCATGTTGTTCTTCTTGGTGTTGTTTTGGCCAAATGGCTGCGCTTGTTGTTGTTGTTAAGCGTAGCTTACGCTACTTTGGTTTAGCCTAAAAGGCCGGATCTTAGCGTATTGCACTGTACGACATGCATGCGCGCATTCGACTGCAGCAGCAAAACGAATTTCCGTACCAAATATTTTGGCATTATTTGCAAAATGTAAATAAATGTGTTAATTGTGCCAAAAAGAGAACAAGTTGCACTGCCATGGTCACAAAATCCACTTGCCTGACATAATGACACCCGCACCTGCCCCCTTCAACCAACCAACCCCCCCTCCAACCAGTGCGCAGTTCGCAGCTTTGGCTGCAAAATCTACAAGTCATTGTACCTTTGTTTGTGTGTCAGTCCCCGTGTCGTCGTGTCTATCTAGCGTCGCCCTGGCAACGAATTCTCACCGACCGGACTCATCGACAGGCTGCCAATTATGCTATGTACTTTCTGCACGCCTTAAACAATCACCGAATTGTATGTTTTTTGGGAAAGGCTTATATTTATTTTGCGGCTGCAACAACAATTCGTTTGCAAATTTTCATATGCCGGCGTTTTGAACAGTCAGCATATGCAGTGACGCGGGACTAAAATAGACTTGCCATGCACACTGTACAGCAGTAAAAAACTCTACCGAGCACCGCAATAAGCACATTTTAACAATCCAATAAGCAATTTACTTACAATTTTATCAGACATTGCTTCAAAATAAATTACACTTGGAAGCAAAGCAGCACTTGTATAGACAGTATAGATTAAGTGTGACCATGCTCACACAATGCACAAGTGCCTAGAAAACAACTTGACAAAATACCGAATGCTGTTAAATGTTAAAGCACCACTGTTAAGTTAACAGCTGAGTTCAGCAAAATAATGTGTGCATCTTAAAAAACGTTTATTTGAAAATTGATTTAAAAACAAAGTACTTTTTGTGCACATTTAGTTATATTTTTAATTAGAATTTACAACAAACAAGCATTTTGCTAGTGGAAGACTGCTACTTAAAGCTATAGCGTGCGGCAATGGGTATTTTAATCATATTTTAAATTACCCATACATATATACTTGATATCTACATAATCGTCGATGCCATGCCTGGAACCTTCACGTCCCACGCCCGACTCCTTGACACCGCCAAACGGCGCCTCTGGTGCGGAAATTATGCCTTCATTAACACCCACCATGCCTACCTCTAAACGCTTAGCCACCCGGAATACCTGCTGCAGATTCTCACTGTAGAAATAGCCAGCCAGACCACGTTGCGTGTCGTTTGCCTTTTGCACCGCCTCCGCCTCATCTTTAAATTTGATGATGGACACAACGGGTCCGAAAACCTCCTCGGTGTAGATATGCGCCGACGTTGGCACATCAGTGACTATGGTGGGCGCATAGAAGAGGGAGCCCAGCTCCTGCAGCCCCTTTCCGCCCACTATGATGTTGGCCTTCTTGTCGCGCGCATCCTCCACGAAGCCGCTCACCTTGTCGTACTGCATCTTGTTGATCAACGGACCAATTTGCACATCTACAGATTTGCCATCGCCGATCTTGAGCGCCTCCACTCGTTGCTTCAGCTGCGACACAAACTTATCGTATATGCCCTCCTGCACAAAGAATCGATTCGCCGAGACACAAGTCTGTCCGCAGTTGCGGAATTTGGAGGCCATGGCGCCATCCACCGCCTTCTCAACATTTGCCGAATTGAAGACAATAAACGGTGCATTGCCGCCGAGCTCCAGGCAGACGCGCTTAATTCCATCTGCGCTGTTGCGGAATAGCAGTTTGCCAACCTGCGTGGAGCCGGTAAAGCTAATGCCACGTACATCGGGACTCTTGCAGAACAGTTCTCCAATCGGTGCGGCCTTCTTGGTGGTCACCACATTGATAACGCCCTTGGGAATGCCCGCTTGCTCGGCCAGCTTGGCCACAGCGAGTGCTGTCAGGGGCGTATCCTCTGAGGGCTTGACGACCACGGTACAGCCGGCGGCTAAGGCGGCGCCCGCCTTGCGCGTTATCATGGCCAACGGAAAGTTCCAGGGTGTTATCAGCGCGGCCACGCCTATAGGCTGCTTCATGACAATCACCTCACGATTTGGCTGGCCGCTGGGCACAATTTCGCCATAAATGCGACGCGCTTCCTCGGCAAACCACTCGACGAATGCATTGCCATAGACGACCTCGCCCCTAGACTCATTGATGGGTTTGCCAGACTCGGCTGTCATGATTTCAGCGATTTCCTGTGCATTCTGTTCGATGAGCTGGTGCCATTTCTGGAAGAGATCAGCTGGGTTTAGTGTGTCAGTCTTAATGCATCTATATGCCAATTATATACTTTCAACATATTTGAGCGATCCTTGGCGGTTAGGGAGCGCCACTCCTTGGACTCAAAAGCCTCCTTTGCGGCATTAATGGCCCGCTGTGCATCCTCGACTGTCATATCGGGCACAAGGCCGATCACCTCTCCATTGGCGGGATTTTTCACCTCGAATGTTTGCCTGCTGCAAGAATCAATCCAATTGCCATTGACCAATGCCTTGGTCTGCACCAGCGCCGAGAAACCGCGCATTTGGCTGACCTTCAATGTACTAAGCCTTCGGAACATGGTTTTGCCTGAATTTTGCAACAAATCAATGTTAATGCAAGTGATTGCCGCTTATCAATTATCATTATCTCTCACCTTATATGAAAAAGATTGGGCTCAATCGTCTGATAGCTGCGTTTTTCTCTGCTTTTTCTATTTGTTTAGCGGCTTTTTGTCTGTTTGATTGGTTTCAATTGATTTTGATTACAGCGAGTGGACACAGCTGAATGCAGAGATTGTTACGTCAACAAGTGCGCTACTTTTGTGCTCTATTTGCGCATGACGTCACAGCCTCAATTGCATAGAAAGACGCGAGTATAGTATACGAAACCATAACTTGAACGAAAATTTTCAAAATATTAAATTTTAAGCGAAACAAATTAAAAGCAATTTATACATTGTCACTATAGCTTTATAAGAGATTTACAGCAGAAAGCCAACTCATATGACTGTTAGTATATTTAGTATTTGCTTACACCTATATATGTGTATTTATTTGCATATATGACGTCCCTTTGCACTCTCATTAAAGACTTATAGAGCAGCGTAATCTCTAATTATATGGCTACATGGAAACAACTAAAAATATCGATATATCGACTTACATTCAAATAATTCAGTGCTATGTTAATTTTAAAGTTTTCTGCTAGCCGAAGGGATGCAATGTTAACCGTTAACATGCTCTGCTAACCGATAAGTATTTTCGACTTTTCGTCTTACAGCATTCAGCTTGTGTACGGCCTACGCTAACGCACTCTTCAATTTGAAAATCGTAATATGTAATAGAAAGTAGCATGCTGCCCATTTCAAGCCGTTGCAACGGAAACAACGCGTTGTTTATGTTGTTCCAGACAGCGCCACTTGTTTGTCCGATGCCTTTTGCCATGCGCGGTAGCAATGCACTAAAAACTTGATCAGCCATTCCTGCCTGGTATTGGGTTTGTTTTTTTTTTTGCTAACCTTTCTGTATGCCATTTACCTGTCGCTTTGCATGCGCCGCCGCCGCTGGACAAGTGCTCCATTTATTATGCACAGCTATGGCCATAGATTTCACATGTGCCGATGGCAGGTTCTGACTGGCCGCTGCCTCTTACCTACGCGCCGGCTACTGTTCATGCAGGCCTCAGCCGGGCACCCAATGCAATCTGTGCTGCAAATTTTTGTCAATAAATTTTGGCGGAGAATGCCAAAACAAGCTGGTCACACGAAGCATCATAACTGTTAAGATAAGATTGCCTAGATGCGATGCGATGCGAGGCCAAAATGAATTCAATTAGTTCTGATTTAAAGCTAATTGAAAATGCATCCAACTAAACGAAGAGCCAGCGCCTCTGGGACTGGACCTGTCGATAGGTGTGTAAGTTATTTGTCTTAAGTACTGCCGGGAGGCGTTGCATGCCACAGCAATTCATGTTCGCCTGACTTTTATGATTATGGCCAAAACGAGCGAGATACTCTAGACTTGGCTAGTTGCGACTGCCGCCAAGCTAATGAAGTGCTCACACTCAGACATTTTGGGCTGGATTTGAATGTCTGCTTAAATGCACAATTGTGACAAGTTTAATGCGCTCTACACAAATTTATGGGGTCGCAACGAACCAACAATGCCCCTACTCCAAAACAAAAAAAAAAAAAAAGAAGAAGAATAATATAGAAGAAATAGGCAGCATGCCTTTTGTATAGCTAATTGTAATACGAAATCATAACACGCCATAAAAACGAGACAAAAGCAAAAGAGATATGGGACCGGTTCCAAGACGCGTTCGGCTTGCAGGCCAAGCAGCTGGTCAATGGCAAACAATGCTCTAAGAAACTCTAACATGGAGTAGCAACAGCAGCAGATCAGCTATAAATCATGTTTGCAAACACGTTCCTTCCAGGGAGTGAGAGAGAGAGAGAGAGAGAGAGAGAGCGAGAGGGAGCGAGAGGGAGAAGAAAGAAAAAAAAACATCTGTTGTCTTGGACCGGCAGCTTTCTGAAAGGACCAACTGGCAGCCAGGACTTGCGGCAAGCTTAGGGCGTCGAACTGGTTGCCACAGAGATAAAAAGTGTATAGCGATCGTGTTTGCAACAGCTGCTGCTCCTGCTCCGACTTAAGCGCCACACAAAATGGCCGCCAGGATAATAGCTTTGCCGCCTGCTGCTCCTGTTGCTGCCGCTTGGCTGACTCACCTTGGCACGTGGTGCCGCTGCTTGACAGCTCCTGCAGCTGCTCGAAAAGAAAACAACTCAGACTGCCCTAGACGAAGAGTACTGACTAGGCGCTACCCTAGAGCCAGCGCCGAGTTAGCTGAACTTGCATTCGTGCTTCTGTACATACACAAAATCAAACAGCAGTTTCATTCTTGAATTACTTTCGTGTCTAATATCCGATCGGAATTCTAGACTTGAAGATATATGGCATGTAGATATAGAAAGAGTGAACAATGCATACAATTTGCATAATATACAGAAACAAACAGACGAGATACTACTCGATTTTGGGTAAATGAAAAAAAGTATCAGTGCGTATGCTCCTCTCTAATTTGACCTTAGG